GTGTTTACATCAGTTATTGTAGAGGGGACACAAACTAAATCCTGTTTTTACATAAGTTATTGTAGAGGAGACACAAACTAAATCCAATTTTTACATCAGTTATTGTAGAGGGGACACAAACTAAATCCAGTTTTTACATCAGTTATTGTAGAGGGGACACAAACTAAATCCAGTTTTTACATCAGTTATTGTAGAGGGGACACAAACTAAATCCTGTGTTTACATCAGTTATTGTAGAGGGGACACAAACTAAATCCAGTTTTTACATCAGTTATTGTAGAGGGGACACAAACTAAATCTTGTTTTTACATCAGTTATTGTAGAGGGGACACAAACTAAATCCAGTGTTTGCATCAGTTATTGTAGAGGTACACAAACTAAATCCTGTGTTTACATCAGTTATTGTAGAGGGGACACAAACTAAATCCAGTGTTTGCATCAGTTATTGTAGAGGGGACACAAACTAAATCCACTTTTTACATCAGTTATTGTAGAGGGGACACAAACTACATCCTGTTTACATCAGTTATTGTAGAGGGGACACAAACTAAATCCAGTGTTTGCGTCAGTTATTGTAGAGGGGACACAAACTAAATCCAGTTTTTAGCTTTTAAGTATTCTGTAGGAGTGCAGAAAATTAAAATTTATTTTCTTTGATCTTTTCTGAACAATCACATCCAATAATTTGCTGCAGAAATTATACATGAGGTCTGGACTTATCAACTACACTTTGATGGTCTTCATTCTCCTCTAACTCTGGCTCCAACATGTAAGGTTGGACGGACAACTCTTCTCTTTTTAACATGTTTTAGTTCAGTAATAAATAAAACGTTTCTGCGTCGCTCTACAGTCATAAACCCCTCTATCAAACTAGAACTGGTCTGGAATCTGGAGGGGGCAGGGTGTGAAGAACCTTGTTTGGATTTAAAGAGACATTGATCTGAGACATTGAAATGAGTTGATCTGAGACACGCCTCAGAAAAGGGGTGGGGCTTGTGGAGTTACAATAAGGAAGAATTCAGACCAAAACATTTTAGTTCTACTTTATACAGACCTCAAGTGAAGGATTTAAAGCAACATGTGTCTCCTTTATGTTAATTTGTTATTTACAGATCTGTAGTGATTATAAACATGGATCAAATGTAACAGATTGATTTTTTATCATAATTTAACAAGCCCAAAATAAAACACCAAGGAGCTACAAGACTGAAAAACAGATTTCTAAATATTTGTTTAGAAAAGAGAAAAGTCCAGACGGTCTCCTCCATCAGAGGGAACAGAACCATGAACCTGCACTGCTCCATCACAGGAGGGGGGCCGGCTCAGGCTGGTCCCATGAGCCTGGGTGCTCCCAGCAGGTCTGTGTTCAGACTCTGTGTTCTGGTCTTCAGGCTTCAGCAGAGAAGGTCCGGACCACTGAGGTCCAGGTCATGGTGGTGTCTGCTCAGAAGAACCTGCTGGAGGAGAGACTCAGGCTCGTCACGGAGCTCTGGAATGCAGGTGTAAAGGTGTGTATCAGTTTTTATTGTTATTGTACTTCAGCAGATAATAATATTAATTTAAAAATACTGTCTAATAAATTGGACTGGATTACATGATGACAGTAATGTGTTCTGATGTGTGTGTGTGTGTGTGTGTGTGTTGTGTGTTCAGGCTGAGATGATGTACAAGAAGAACCCCAAACTGCTGAGTCAGCTGCATCACTGTGAGGAGTCTGGGATCCCACTGGTGGCCATCCTGGGAGAACAGGAGCTGAAGGATGGAGTGGTCAAACTGCGTGTGGTGGCCACCAGAGAGGAGGTACACCTTCTTCTTAGACTTGTACCAGTCCTTGTACCTGCACCAAACTGAGAACTTTGTATTCACTTCCATTCATGTTTGTAACTGTATTTATGCCTAACCCAGACATTTCCTCTAAAATTAACCATGACTGGTCTATAGCTAACCCTAACCTGAACCAGAACTTAATTCACACCAAATCTCTAAACCTGACTAGAGAATTGCATTTCCTGCAAAAATACTAGTGTGAATGCTACCTGCTGAAAACAAGCTGAAAGCTGCTGAAACTGAGCTGAACGTGTTTAGTAGCAAAAATGCTAATGAGAGTTCAGTTTGAAAAGCAGAAAGGAACAAAAATCCTAAACTTTGCAAAAAAACAGTAGGAATGAGCATAAATATGGTTTAAAAAGCAGAAAACAGCTAAAATCTAAATGCTAAGAAAATAAATATAACAGAAAGCAACTGTAAGAAGCATAAACAGCTCAAATTAGAAATAATAACAATAAAGTTGAATATTGCAGTCAATTAGCAGAAGGTAGAATTAGCTAAAGTATCAAAAATGCTAAAATTAGCATCAAAATAAGCTAATTCAAGAAACGAGCTGAAAGAAGCACAGAGATGGTGAAAGTGTTGTAAAAATATAAAATTAGCAGAAAAAAAGTGCATAAAAGTATTAAAAGTCGTCATTTGTAGAAAAATAGCTAAAACAGCTGAAGTTTTCAGTAAAACAGCTAAAAGGTAGCTGGAAATGTTTTAATCAGCATAAGGAATCATAACGAGCACAAGTTTGCTGAACGTAGCAGAAATAAGTTCTAATAGCTACAAAAATTATGTATTTAACTTAAAAAAGCTAACTTTAGCTTATAACAGCTGAACATTAGCTAAAATTGCTGGAAATGGCTGAATTTAGCAGAAAGCATCAGTAAGAAGCATCAATAGCACAAAGTAGATGAAAGAATTACAAAAAAGAAGAAAATAGCTAAATAACTAAATATTAGTGGTGCAACAATACATCTACCTCTATCAAACAGTACTTCATGTTCAATACACACTTGTATGGAACAATACACACTTGTATGGAACAATACACACTGTGTATGGAACAATACACACCGTGTATGGAACAATACACACCGTGTATGGAACAATACACACCGTGTATGGAACAATACACACCGTGTATGGAACAATACACACCGTGTATGGA